TAAAAAGTAAAATATTTTTTTTTTATAAAATTTTTAGGAACGTGCTATATTTTTTCTTTTATTTTAATTGATATTTTTCCTTTTTATTTTTAGATTTTATTGTTTAAAATGAAAAATCCTTCGCTTAATTTCATTGAATTTTTTGAGACTTACTTTATTTGTTTTAAATTTTTATTTTTAGATTTTGTTTTTTAATTTCATTTATGTAATGTTTAGGAACTTATTTTTATACGCGAGCGTACTTGTGCACAGGGGTATCTACAACTTAATTCGCATAGCGGTTGTTTGTGCTAGCCTAAATGCATATAGATAGATATAGACAAATGTATACATAAATGCTCAGAATGAATAGAGTGGTCGACAAAGCCGTGTGAAGTAGAGTTTTGGTAAATTATAATATTGTTATGAAATTTTCACCAATCCTTACCAAACTCGGTACAAGTCTTGCGCAGGGGTCAGCTAAGAAATTTGTTAAAAATATTTGAAATCGGGCAATAACCGCGAACACTTCCCATATAATGGAAATTTACATAAACACGAAACCAGTAACTTAGCAGAAAACGAGATCAGTATAAATTTTTGGATAATGGGCGTGAATCCGCCTTCTTATATCTCGGTAACAGATTTGTCAATTTCTACCAAACTCGGCGCACTTAATAACCTTGGCTACAAAGGTGTATCTCGGTAATCCTACTTTATCGATTTCTACCAAATTTGGTTCAACTTTATCATTAAGTCTAACCCAGGATATTACCGAAAACGTTTGAAAACGCGTAAAAGCACCCCTGCTTATCATGCAAAGGTAGTTCGATTCTTAGTTTGATACCTGTGCCGGGTATGTACATATGTATAAAGTTCGGTTTCGGCCGAAGTTACATATACTTCTTTACTTGTTTTATCTATTTATTTTTTCTCTTTTTTTGATTTATTTTTTTTTTTTGTTTATTATGTTTGTTTTTTATGTTCAGATTTTACTGTTGCAGCAAAATAATTTTCTTAAATTTATTTTTTTTATTATATAGATTTTATTGAAAATAATTTTTTTTCTGATTTCTTTTAATTTTAAAAATTGTTTAGATCTCTTTTAAGCTTTTTAATTCGATTTTTTTCTATCTTCGCAATTAATCCTTTTTTGCATTTTAAGATTTTATTGTTTTAAAAAGAAAAATATATATTTTTGTTTGAAAAGACAAACAGAATTACGCTGAAACCTTCTCGTTAGTACAAATTTCAGTTAGTCTTTCGAAAGATAGCAAAGAGCTTTCAAGAGAGCCGCCAGTATTGCCCTGTAATCTACAATGTTTACCAATAAACAACATAACACAATTTTTATTGACGAGCGTTGGCAAAGTATTTTTTTGTAGGCTACAAACAATAATCAAAACACAACTTCAGTTTGATTGAATCTTAGAAAATATGCCAGAAATTGTCAACCCCTACGATAAGGTTGACATCTGAAACAAATTTCACAGCGAAAATATCTGAAAAAAATTTTCTATATCTTTGTTATTCCTTACTATTCGTTCATCGTATTACTTTCACAATGCCATTTATATTTATAAAATTTAGCGAAATCGTGCAAGGCTCTGATATGCATGTAAATAATAAACGACAATACAGAAAATCCTTTTTCAAAACATTAATAACAGCATTCACATTTTTAGGGTCTTTATTATTTAGCCGCTCAGTATGTATGTATATACGTGTACTTATTTTACTTTCATATAAGAAAATTTTAGGAAAATCGGAGTACAAATCTATGTCATAGCACAGTGATAAGGTAAGTATTTTGCAATCAGAACATAATTTCATACCATCCTTTATATTTATACGGGGTATTCCAGCCCGATTCGGACACCATTTGGCTTTTGCATCTCCGATTTTTTTTCGGAATTTTTCATAATTAATTTTTTGTTCAGCCGTTTTCGAGATATCGATTTCTTAAGACACAACGTTCCTTTGATGAATGGCCATAACTTTGCCAAAAATTCAACGAGTGGGACCATTTGTTTCTTGAAATTTTACATTATCAAAACACATTTGCAATATAACAACGAACAAATTTTCAAGGCTGTATATCTATAAAACTTTCAATATGAAATTCAGATGTCCGCATCTTTTAAGCTAGTCTGATAATAGGCTAACAATGGAATCTATTTTTTCGAATTTTTTAATTAATGAAAATCTAAAAAAAAAATTTATCCAACTCAACGCCAAAAATACTGACTGCGTCAAATCAAATAAAATAATTAAAATGTATGAAATACTAAAAGCAAATAAATAACATTTCCATAATTTATTTTTAACTCATTTATAATAAAAATTTTAGCTTTGTGTTTATTGAGATCACTTCCGCTTTATGTCACATTACAAAAGTGCCTGTTCGATCAATTCACATTTTGACTGGAATATTGGCTGAGCAAGAAGAAGAGAGGAGAACAGAAGCTCAGTGAACATTCTAAAGAATTTTCTTTAAATGATAGTATTCGAAATGAAGAGCAGAAAAATTATTTAAAACTTAACCGAAACAATTTTCTTGTTTGTTAAAAAAAACTTCATATTTTATAATAAATTTTTCTTATGTAAAGTTATTTAAATTTTGACTTAAAAATCTATCTAGCTTTACGCAATTTTTCTAATTTCCTTTTGCATTACACATTTTTACAAAACAATTACTTTTTTAGGATTATTTTATATAAAATATGCAATGTTTTCTTTTATGGATTTATATTTTATTTTTAATTTGTGCATTAGAATGTCGATAACTTTGCTTTAGTATTTGTATTCATACAATTTCGTAGCTAAGCACTGCCCTTGTAATATTTTCTAAAGCGATGAGATTTTTTTTTTGTACAAAATAGTATTAGTGTGAAATAAAATGAAATGAAATAAATAAAATAAGATAAATAATTAAAACTATTGGACACAAAATATAAAAAAAAAACAAGACAAATAAAAATAAAAAAAAATATAATACAAAAAATTAAAAATTAATTATTTGAAAATTAATGATAAGAAAAATGTTAACATAAAAAATATGCACCTCGTATCTATTCCTTTCTTTGAGGTGGGTTAAAATAGTGATGTTGTTCACGCTTGATTGGTTATCAGCTTATGTGGTTATCTTTTTTATTCAGTTCACAACAATAAAAAACACTACACTTGAATAATTTTTATCTAGATAACCTGAAAACCAGGGAAGAGTAAATAACCTCAATGAAATAAAATAAGTCTGTAGATGCATAAAAATTTACAAAAACAAAAAAATTTTATAAAATAAAACGAAATTACATAAAGCAAAAATAAAAATAAAATAGAAAAAAAAATTTATTTAAGTATTTTAAATAAAATAAAATGAAAAAAATAAAATGAAGCAAAATAAAATAAATTATAAAAAAAACAAAATCAAATAACATAAAATATAAGCAAATAAAAAAATTAATTAAACTAAAGAACAGATTAAAAAATAATAGATTAATTAAAAAAAAATAGAAGGAAATTTAATATAAAAAAGTAAAATACGGAAATAAATTAATAAAAAATAAAAATAAGTGAAGTAAAATAAAAAATGAAGGAATTAAAAAAAATTATTGAAATAAATTAACATACAATAAAATCAAACAAACTAAAATAAAACCAAAAATAAAATGATATAAAAACAGCAAATAATAAATTAAATAACATTTTTAAAATAAAATAAAATATCAGAATAAAAAACAGCATAATGAAATAATGAAAACTAATATAAAATAAAACAAAAACCAGAATATAAAATTAAATAGCTGCATTAAAAAAAATAAATACATTAAGAAATAAAAAAAAAAAATAAATAAATAAACACAAAAAATGAGTAAAGGAAAATAAATAATTTAATGGAATAAAATAAAACGAACGAAAAATCAATACAATAAATTAACATAAAATAAAATAAAATCAATTAAAATACAGCAAAAAATAATATAAAATGATATAAAAAACAAAAGCTTTAATTCAATTTTTTTTAAATAAAATGAAAGTAAAATTATTAAAAAATTAAATATGAATTAAAGTAAATTAATGAAATAAATAAATAAGTAATAAAAACGGACAAAAAAGTGATTATATGAAATAAATTTAAATAAATTAAAAAATTAATAAAATAAAGTAAAATAAGATAAAAATGTAAAATAGGGTAAATCCAAACTAAATAATACATAAAATTAAATAATATAAAACAGAAAAAAACCTTTTGAACTTTATATAAAAATATAATTGTATTGATACATTAATTAAATAAGAAAAGAAGGGAATCAAATTAAAATTTAATAGAAAAATGTGTAAGAAAAAATTTATATTTGTATATATTTAAAATGCTTTCGAACAGAAAATCTATGCTCAAAGTCTCATCACTTTAATCCAAAATGCTAATACTGCCTTTCCAAACAAATTTCCTTCCACCTTTCCATACAATTTTTTCACTCTCTGCACTTTCTTTTCCTCAATGTAGGTGTATTCAAGAATATTGTCCGCATTGTATTTACACAAATAATTTTTTATTTTTTGATGTGCTTTTTTATTTTTGCGCAATTAGCTAATACAATTTTTTTATTATTTTATGTTATTTAATATTCTATTTTTCTATTTTCTCATTCTATTTTCCTGCTACCCCGCACAATCCGAAAATGAAACACAATTGGGCAACAAAAAACCACATTGCGTTTATTATTATCTCCAAATATGAATTTCGAATCGAAATACGCCAAAATTATATTCCCAATTCGATGTCCAAATTTGAAACCAATTCCAATTGCTTGCTTATCTACCAACCAACCAAACATTTCATTCAACAATTGATACTTAATAAACTTAATTGATTTCTTAAAATGACTAATTCACAATGATTGAACTGATCGATAATTTTGATCGATACATAATTTGAATTAAAAAATTAAAAAAAATTAAAAAAAACCGAAAACAAAAAAATTTGAAATTTTTAATTGTAAAACAAAATAAATCTATAGAATACGCCACGGTCGGCTATATGGCAAAACGAATTCAAATGCGAAAACAAAGATTTATGGCGATCCAAAAAATAGCTGAGCAAAAAAAGCAGCAACAAATGGATGGGGCGCAACCACCGCCCAATCCCAATCCGAGTGCGGGCGATCATGGACATGGGCATGGTCATGGCCACAGCCATGGTCATCCTCATGCGCCAAAACAAACAGTGAGTAACCGACCAATTGGCTATTCAAATATGCAACAAAACGTTGGTTCGCGCGGTTGCTCGATAGTGGGACCCTTGTTCCAGGAGGTGAGATTCAAGGTGCACGATCCGAAGGCCCATTCCAAAGGCGGCACGCTAGAGAATACTGTGAACGGTGGACGTGGCGGACCGCCGGTTGGCCCACCCGGACCCGGACCCCAAGGTGGCGGTGGCGGTGGTGGTGGTGGAGGCGGCGGCGGGGGCGGAGGAGGTGGTGGCGGTGGCGGCGGAGGTGGAGCGCCCGAAGGTGGGGACGCCGAAGCGGCTGTACCATCCCATTTATTACACCCGGGCAAGGTAAAAAAAGTAATTTCCAGCCCAAACATATACACCGCGAGAATTTTGTGATCATACTAATCGATTGTTTTTTTCTTCCTCTCTCTCTTTATTCGTCGCTTTTTTAACTTTTTAATTTTTCCTATAATTTACAAAATTGTTAAATCACACAGGATATCAACAAGCTGCTGGGCATAACGCCATCAGACATTGACAAATATTCGCGCATAGTGTTCCCCGTGTGTTTCGTTTGCTTCAATCTGATGTATTGGATCATCTACTTGCATGTCAGCGACGTGGTTGCCGACGATCTGGTGTTGCTGGGCGAGGAGAAGTAAGATGAGAAACGCCGCCGAGCAGAAAAGCGTAAAGCATACAAGAAAAGGCAGCACAGAACAGAGGACGTGCTGTGTCGCGCTAGGCGTGTACCGGTTGAGGCGAAGTCATGTCGAAGACAGGACGAGCCAGGGGAGTACAGCAGCCAGGCGAATCGCACTAAATTAATTAAGTTTATATATTAAGCAAATACACTATATGTAGACAAAAAAAATTAGCATAATTATTATATGAATACTCACACGCACTAGAAGATTAAAAAAAAACAAAAAAAAAAACACAAGCATAAGTATGTTTATGTATTAGGAAAATCAGCAGAGAAACGACGAAAATTAGCTAAAAATTATTTATACTAAGCAGAAAAAAATAGTGAACAAACAGGTTAAGTTGAAAAACTTCGGAAATAAAATCAAAATAAAAATGAGTTAAAGTCTAAATGAGAGCACGAGAGCCGCTGCAGGTGTGCGCCATAGCAGGCAATTACACTGAAAAAAAAAGAAAAAATCATTTAATATTAAACTATACTTTATAGGCAAATAACACAACGTTAAGTGGAACGCTAAAGCGCATTGGCTAAAAAACAAAAAAACAACTAAACAAAACAAAAATAATTATAATTTAGTAAGTCGTATAAGCTCAAAAAATATTAACAGCAATAAATAAGTGAGTGTAGAGCAGAGCATTTGAATGAAATATAATGAATTAGAAACTAATGATTTGTCAGCGAAAAACGTTAAAATTAAGAGAAGTGTAGTTAAAATAATGTTGGGCAGGACTTTGAAAATTAGTAAAGTTACACGAAACACGCATACACAGGCACCACCAATAAAAGTACAGTAGTGAGAGGCGTGATGCGATGGCACTTTAACCTAAAAATAACAACTTCGGCTTGCTGATGCTTCCGGTGGATTTTGACATGAAATTCCGTCATACCTTGTCAATTTTCATTTGAAGAACAAACCAACTTCTTGTTAGCCATGTTCAGCGTAATTCTTTGTCATGCGGGAATGCCATATTAGTGAGACATTCGTTGAACGAATTTGCATATACGATACAATTGTTTTTTCACTTGAAACTTTTTATGTTCAAGCATTAGTAGGGACCTTATTTTATTAGATAAAGAGTTCCTCATTGAAAAGACAAGAAGGATCCAGACTTCATTAAACTTTTGTAGCTTAAATAACAAGCATTTGACGAGGAACCTGTAAGTTTAGGGACATTACTGGGGGAAGTACAAAGAGTTCGGGTTTGGATATTCAAGAGCTTTCACCTAGATTTTAAGAAAGTGAAGGTTTTTTATTTTTTTTTTTTGCATATTTCTTTAGTGAATGCGTTCGAAAACTTAAAAAGTAAATTTCGATCTGTTTCAGGTTATGTATCCCTTTAAAGGGGAAAACTAAAACCAACACCTAGACAGATGTTTAAAGGCTAGATTCTGGCATATCTTTGCTACTACCAGAGTTTCATCACAAAACATAATTCTGGTGCAAGTAAAATTTTCCAAATGGGCACAGCTTATTCTAAAGAATTTTTCCATTTTGACTCATGAGCTATTGGTATTAGGATAGTTTACATTGTAATGGTTGGAGGGTATACCTTATTAAGATCCCAAATTCCCTTCGATGTTAGAAAGCTCACTCTGGTGCAAAGCGCATGGTTGACGCTTTGAACTTTACGAAAGCTTTCATCATAATCATATTATATACTATCTGGAAGGCGTTAAAAATTGGTTTGAATAGTTCTTCAATGCGCTCGCAACTATATGCACCAATCAAGAGTTTTATCAGGAAGTACGGTTTTTCTGTACAGCGTCGCAGCTAATTATGGCTCTACCGGGTGAAAGTATGTTCCTACTGTTTAAAGACAGTCGAGGTTACCACGTACTTCCTTTCCTTGCCAATTCATCAGCTTTGTTGTTTCCACTCATAATGCTGGTGAGTTAAATTCTATAATGCTGTGACATTTGTTCCAAAATTTAATAAAAAAAAAGTCTGCAATGTCTATGTGTCAGCCTGAAGCTTTCAGCACTGCCTGACACTGCAATTTTGCTATGTACCACTCAATTTCTGCGTTTATATAAACCCCAAATGGTTTGTTTATAAAATTACTCATTCAGCTAAGCTCTAAAATATATAAATACAACATTACTGAAACGATTTCAAAAAAAGTTACAGTTACAAGAAAAACCCTGGATATGTGGAGGTCTTCGTTACCTATCACAGCTTTGTATTTCCTATGCCAAATGAGTGTGAGAATATACAATAGTCGGTACTGCCAAGCATCAGTATAGTCACCGACGAGCCTAGGTTAAGGTTATCTAATCTTATTGCTGCAATAACGGGCACTTATCGAGCACTTCGATCAAGGAGTTGGATTCAAAATCGCATTTAGAGCTTATTTGATACTGAGACTCTATGGCGCCTAATTATATGGATAGTTCACTTATACATTCAGTGTACAGGACATACGTAACTACACTCCGTGTCATAATTATAAACACACCACATATTGAAAAGTTTTAACAAACAAATTTTTTGTTATTTAATTTTAGTTAATTTTTATATAAACATAAAAATATAGTTTACTCTCTAACAAAAATCTTTTAAATTCCAGTTTTAAACTTTATGCGATATCAAACATTTTTTTGAGCTTAGGCATGTTTCTTATGAAAAACTTGTGTTAATATAAATAAGAAATTTAAGAAAATTTCATACAAAATTTCGTGGTTTTTAATTAGATTCAATAGAAATATTTTGTGTGTTAATAATATATAGAAATAATTTAAAATTTACGCTTTTGGAGATTTCATCATGCAATTGAAAAGCTTGATAAGGAGAATATGTTCAGTCTAACAGATGACTAAACTTCTCAAAATTAGCGAAGATATGCGTCTTTCCATCTGTCTTTTTGTATACCAACTGTTTCAGTTGATCAAACTTTGAATGCGTTTTCTCAAAAAATTTAAATTAAGAAATAATTCTATATATTATTAAATGTGCGATATGTTCGACGATATTTTATATTAAAAAAATGAGCAAAATCAATGGAAAGCCCTTGCTACTTTAAGTTCAAATGGAAGGGCTGCCAAACGGCATACTCAGAATTTTTTATAGAAATGTAATTATAAAGCTCGAAATTTAAAAAAAAATTTGTTTTTGTTAGAGAATAAACTATACTTTTTATGCAAAACTAATTAAAATTAAATAGTTTTTGGTATGAATTTTCGATAATTTGGTATATTTTTTTATATTTTTGTTATCTCAAATTTCAAATTCTAGCCACAAAATACGCTTGTACAATTGCACTAGTCACCAAAAATACAGCCACAAAAATTTTATATACATAAATCTTTTTTCGTCTTGATTTTTTATTGGTTTTTTTTTTTTGCTTTAAATTATTAAGGAAGCTATGTTAGGTCCAACAACTACTTACTTTAAGCAATTAGATGAAGAAAAACAAAACAAAACAACTACATTACAAACACTTTAGCGCTTCCAAAACTTTTTGCCAAATTTTTTGAAATTAATTAAAAAAAGACAAGTCATAAAATTAGCAACAAATCGAAAGCACAACAACGCACATTGATGTTAGAGTTGCGAATAGTTTATAATTATGCGTGTGCATACTTGCACATGTCCATGTATGTTTGTAGAGATAATTAGCTTAGTTTAATTTAGTTTTGTGTGGTTGAATTACGTAAATATTTAATTTTTTACTCAAATGCGTTTGCTTTGATATATTTTTTCCATTTAAACGCAAATAAAGCGATTGGAAAATTACAAACTGCGCACGCGCACGCCGCTCCTTTAAACATTTACACAATTACACAGACACACACACACACACACACATAAGGTGCCATATACGGCAACGAGGCAGACTCACTCTTAAAAAAAAATAAATTGAAAATTCTTAACCGAATAAATCGAATAGTAAAACTTTGAGCCGAAAAAGTTAAGAAACAAAAACAAAACACATTAAAGCGTTGACTAATAATAAATTGATATCAACTATGTATATGCAGTAAGTTATGACTTAATAAACAGCACACACATGTTAGTCTAATTACATAAATACCTAATATGAAAGTCTACATACCCTACCTAACCTATATATGTATGTATTTGTATGTTTACCCCAAGCGCAAATGAACAATATCCCTATATACTCGTAATATTTACGTGTTGAAATTAGCAAACTAAAGAAAGCAAAAAAAATAAAATCGAAAAAAGTAAATACATATGTATGTATGTATATGTATGTATACCTATTCTCATATATGTATGTATATGTACGTATGCAATTTACAAATACTGCTAGCGACAGTACTAAACCAATTACTTTACAACCAACTGACAATGAGTATGTGTAAGTTTGTGTGTAAACACCCTATATCATACCTACAACATACTATGTATATAAACAGCTAATTAGCTAATGCAATCCTATTATAAAAGAAGCAACAATTCGCTAACCAAAAACTTTATTTCAACTCATTGCACGCATACACACACACACACACACCTGAAATAAGAAAATAAATTAAATTCACTTTTATAGCACCAAACCACGGCTTGAATGTACTTGTACATAAACTATTTTATATAATGAAGGAAAAAATAAAAAAAAGAACAAAAAATTACAAAAATAGAAAATTGGCTGCAGTCGCGCGTAATCCGAAGAAGAAGAGTTAAACTAACTTATACTGTTGTAAAAAAAAAAAAAAAATATAAAGAAAAAATTTACGAAGTAAAAAAAAATAAATAAATACAAGTAGTTGTTAAATATAGACAAAAAAGTCCTCTACAAAGGAAAGTCTGGACTAAATAAAACTGCCTACACATATACAAAATAAAATAAAATTAAACAAAACAATTAAGTTTAAAATTGAAAACATTAAGTAATACTAAACAAAAAAAAAAAAAAACTAATAAAAAATTTTTAAAATTGTAGTGTGTGTTCACTACAAAGTGCTACATAAGACGACTCTGCAACACAGTTGCATACATACGTTACAAAAACAACAGCCATATAAATATGTATTTCAATAGCAAGTTTGGAGCATCCAATACAGCTTTGGATTGCCACCAGCGCCAGGGGATATTCACAATCGATGAATGAAGAAACAACGCTGCCTGCCTAGTGCTGCGGTGGCAGAAGCTATAGATAACATTCCCCCAACACTACTCAGTATTTCATACATGCATACATACATACATACATCAAAAATTCCACGAACGCACATACTTACTGTGCTTAGTCAAACACCAGTGTAAAATAAAAAGCTATAATGATTAAAAAAAATATATATATTAACTATATATATGTAACAACTATACATATATAGACATATAAATACAAACAGACCAACTTGAGTAGGAGCAAAACTTCGCAACTTAATAGTTATGTACATATTTATATGTATGCGTAAAGCTTTATGTTTTACAATAAAATAGAAATAATGTTTATACTTACGAACTTAATTATTGAAATAATACCAGTACAGCACAACATTTACGTAAACATGTATACTATATATATTTTTAATTATTTTTAAACATACTAGTTTGAGCTCTTCATAGTATATCCATAAAACTTTAAGCTAGAGCAGGTCAAAAGAGAGCCCAGTACCAAGTAGTTAGTTAAGGTCCACAAAATTAAGATACTCTGCCGTTCTTAACACCAATCCCGTCAAGGTGGATTTTGGCAGACAAGGAGTAAACTACTTTGCCGTGGGTACGAGCAACATGCCGGCGAGCATCCAAGCAGTTAGTTATTCGAGCTGTTTGCGAAACGACCTCCACCTAATTATTGCTGTAATCAGCCTTGTTTAAAAATTTTAAGAAGTTCATAAATGCAGGTATTCAACAAAGTCTTCTATTCGGTATTTAAAAATCAGTAAGGTGAAATAAGTTTGAAGTAGATACGTATTTTGGAATACAAGTAAAACAGCAAAGA